ATTCCCCTCGGGGTCACCGAAAATAATCGCATAGAGTTTAGGGTTTAGGGTTTAGGGTTTAGGGTTTAGGGTTGGGGTCTAGTGGGTTTGGGTAGCCGGAACGTGCAGGGTGATGGACCTGTAGTAGTTCAGCATACGCCACACCGCCCTCTCTGCAGACAACCCCGCATATAGCGCCTTTAGCCGAGACTCCCGTCCCAAACTGCATGTTAACTCCCCAAAAAACTGACTTAGCCAATAGCTGAACTTTAAACTTTTTGGGTTTCCTTATTTAGTAGGAGCAATAAAGTTTAAGCTTTTTATTCCTGGGTTGTTGGAGAAGTAAGAAACAGGGCCCACAAGGTTTAAACTCGTAGCCAACATAGCAAGATATCAAGCCCTTCACCCCTTCGAGGAAGCAATTTCGACCAAACGAGGTTTTCTTTTTTGCGGAGTGACATTCTGTGCCCACAACAGTTCTGGGAACTAGTGCCGTCGCAGTCCCTAAACAAACCCCAAACCCTAAACCGTGCAAAGCCTTCCACCCTGAATCCTGAACCTGAAATCCTACAGTAGCCCCTCGGAGTCGTGGCACGCCTCCTCTCTCTGATTTAGGGTTTAGGGTTTCGGGTTTAGGGTTTAGGGTTTAGGGTTCCCAGCACATCGACTGTCTTCCCATAGCCTTCCCACATCCAGGGCTAGGGTTTAAGGCCCAGAAGCTTTAATGTTGTTCCTTTTTGGGTGGCTTATAGGGGACTATAGTATACTACCGCCATAAATTTCATTCCACATCCCCGGAAACGAAGCTTGTAACAAAAGGAATGCATGTCTTGCTTGGGGTTCACCCATGGCCAGTTTCAGGGGCTGGGGCGGGCGTCGGGTCTCCGAATCAAGTTAATTTGCTTTGGTACCTACTTCCATACTTGTACTGACGGTGTACCAAATCCCAACCTTGAGAACAATCTCCAGAACCTGGAGAAAACGACTCCTTGAAACCTCTTGTGGGCCCCAAACTACAACACCCCGGTTGCGCCCGTCTTCCTAGAATAAGGTCCCTCTCACATAGAATGGTAACCTGTTTCCACCTAGCAAAGGCTACAACTAGGGTCCATGTTCCCACATTAACTTTAGACTTGGCGCCTAAACCTACCTTAGCCCTTTACAGCCCAAGTATATACTTGTGAAGTACACGGTCCCAAAACCTTGTGCTTGCGAGACGTGGCCTGATGGCAGCGACTTCGCCCGAGGCATGACAAGGGTCAGAAGGTGTCGCGGTTCTCACCCTGCACCTGAACCCCTAAACGCCAAACCTTCGTGCCCCCCTTCCAAATTGAGCCCAACTCCCTCAACCCTAGACCCTCAAAGTCAACACGACACCCGGGGTTTTAGGGCTTTGGTCCAAGCCTGACTTTGGGGCAAGGAAGGGCTTTGTTGGGTTTAGAAAGGCAGTGCGGATTGCGCGGTTACATGATAGCGATGGAGTCCACATTACAGGACCCCCAATCCTCCTTTATCAAGCTGTACCTTGGATGGACGTGCCGTGTACTCTCTTCGCAGTTCAGGCGCAGGGTTCCGGCCCACCCACAACTGCTGAGGGACTTAGCCCTTCCATGATATTAGAAGGCTTTTATTATCACCGTTACTTTCCGCGGCCCGGGTGTACGGTACTCCTTGAACTCTGCATATTGCCAAGCCAGAAGCCCTCGTCCTTACGGTGTTGTAGGATTCCGGGTCACCATCTTGCCCCCTAAACCCTAAACCCTGAACCCTGGAGGAACAACGATGTGAGCCACCGGTTGTTCACTCAGTGGTCTTCGGGCGTTGGCCTCGGCCCAAGCGTCAAACAGCGCCCCTGCTTGAAGGTCTCAGTGTTACCCTAAACTTACACCTTACACCCTAAACCCTAAACCCTGTGGGTTTAGGGTTAGGGTTTAGGGCTTCAACAACTCAGAGCGCCGGGACACCCCAGTCTGAGGCCTTTAGGTGGGTCCCGGGAACCTCTGAAGGAGGTGCTTGGGGGACCCCCCTAGCCCCGCCTGAACCCAGGGAGCCTTCAGTCGAGGATGCGACCTCAGAAGTGAAGGAGCCCTCAAGCATGATATGATGTAGATATGCGCTTACATATATAGGTGTGCTGTTTATGGCTATGTATGTCTTATACATATACATATCCATATACATATACATATACATATACATATACATATACATATACATCCATATACATATATGCATACATCTACATCTACATATACATATACACACACATATACATATACATATATACACATATACCTAGGAGCACATGGCTTGTTCCGAAAATAGGGGAATTGGGCTCCCTGGGTAGCATGGCAGGAAGCGGTGGGTTGAGGCTGGAGAGTTGAGGGGCAAAGGATCGGATTGAGGGTTTAGGGTTTAGGGTTTAGGGTTTAGGGTCTAGGCTTTAGGGTTGCAAGGTCTGTGGATGTAGGCCTGGTGCAGATGTTGAGCTTGTGCGGTGCTAGCGGTGGCTTTTGCAAAAAAAGGGTGGCTTGGATGCTTGTGTCGTGTAAGTACTTCTTGTATGATGTACACCACTTGGTTGCGAACTCAGGCCCTCACAAAGTATAACCCTGAAACCTGAACCCTGAAACCCGAAAGACCGACCCAGACTGCCAAGAAACCGTCAGCCCTGGCCCCTTTTTACGAGATAAGGGCTTAGGGTTTAGGGTTTGGGATTTAGGGTTTAGGGTTTAGGGTTTAGGGTAGTTGTAAAAGGGTTACAAACGGGGTTTAGGGCGTCGGGTGACGGGACTTACACAGGTTATAACCCTTATTTTTGAAGGTGCTTGCAATTCTACTTATGATGGCCACCCTTCAAGAATGTGCCTGAATCCCGCAACCTAATACCCAGCGCCCTGGTTTCCCCCGACCCTAGCCTCAAAGCCTCAGGGTTTAGAGGGTTTGGGGGATTGTTTTAAGGGTTTAGGGATATGGGGCCTGAAGGGTGAGGGTTTTAGGGAGCTTGAAGTGTTAAGGGTTCTAAGGTCTAGAGCTTTATAAGGCTTAGGGTATGCCCACGCAGCTTCTCGACCTCAATACTCCATGGAAGTTTCGATTTGCGCTGCCGGCGAACAATACGTTGGCGCGGCCCATGCAGCTGCCGTGTACCTTAAACCCCAAAACCCCCGCATCTAGGGTTTGGGGTTTACGGTTTAGAGTACTATGCATGAAAGCCCTGTCCTACACCGAAAAAGGCTTAAACCCTAAACCCTAAACCCCTTGGGATATCCCCCCTTATACTAGCAACCCTAAACCCTAAACCCTAAACAGTCCTTCATAGGGATTATACTGGGGGGTTCTGGAATCCCTGCTGAGGACTGTTAGTACGAGGGGGAGCATTCCAAGTCACCTTTAAAACAAGCCTCCAAGAAAACTGACGTGTTCCTTGATTACTTGGTTCTGTTTGCCCTTTTTTCAGGTTCAGTTGAGGGTTTCGGGCTTGTCCAGGCTCAGATTAAGCTCACGGGGTTCTTCTAAGTAAGCCCCAAATCCCCAAAGTTCGAAACCCTAAACCCGAAAAATCCTTCCCTGCAGACCCATATCGCCTACTTGGAGGTTCGTACGGATATACGTACCGTAAGTAAGGCTATAAGTACAGATACCCTACTTAGAACCCTACTTATGGCTACCCATGAACCTCCAAGTAGCCCTAAACCCTAAACCCTAAACCCTAAACCCCAAACCCTAAACCCTAAACCCTAAACCCTAGCAGCCCCCCGCGCAACCTCTCCACGAATCGGCGTCACAGCTGCGGAGTCGCACCGGCAAGCGGTCTCACACTTAACGGAGGGTTTCGGGTACAGGGGTTAGGGGTTTAGGGTTTAGGGTTTAGGGTTTCGTATTTAGGGTTTAGGGCTAGGGTTTAGGGTTTGGGTCCCGGGTTGAATTGGAGCATGGGGTTGTGGGTTTATGGTTTCCCCAGAGTTTAAAGTTTGAAGGGTTTAGTTAGGGTTTACCTGTAACTCCATCTTCCTGCAGCTTCATGGCAAGTACCTCGGAATAGGTTTAGGTATATCCACTAAGAACCGTAGGCGCCCTCAACCCTAAACCCAAAATGAGAGTCTCAGGCAGGGACTGGGATCCCTCCCTTTTCATGCTTTTCATGCGAAGGCTCTGTATCGAAGCTGCGCATAAAAGCAAGAGGGGAGGCCAATGGTGCTTTCTACGACTTACCGGGGACTCCTGAGGGTTTAGGGTTTAGGGTTTAGGGTTAAGGGTTTAGGGGCCTACCGTTGTGTGTGTGTGTGTCTTTGTACTTACGATGTTAAGGCTACTCCTACAATTGCGGCCCTTCCTGGGGTTTAGGGTTTAGGGTTACCCGTAGATTAAAGGGTAGCTACACGGTCCCTGAGTATGGGCCCTTAAATGGGGACCCCTTTATATGACGGTAAGGGGAGACCTTAAAGGACCATGTAACTACCCTTAAATCATATAGGTGGATGTAAGCTGCCTAACTAACCCTAGCCCTAAACCCTGAATCCAAAACCCTAAAATTCCCTCGACTAGGTAAGTCATACGGGCTTCAAGCCCTGCTTTTTGTGGTCCGAACTGCGTCGGTTCCGCATGCAGACATGACATGGTTTTGGAACCACATTTCTGTGTTCAAACAAAGGCCACAGAGCCGACCTCAGCACGCACACGCACACACACCCACGCACACACACACCCACGCACACACACGCGCACGCACGCACACGCACGCACGCACACGCCCGCACGCACACGCCCGCACGCACACACACATATCCGAGTAGGACCGAAGTTCCTTTCAGATCAACGCCCCCATATCTACGTGGTATTGGGGCACGTGATGCTGTTAAGAAGATTTGCGTCTCAACAACAATGAACCAGCGGCTATGAGCGGACGCTAAATCTCGGCAAGATGTGTTAGCAGCCCAGGGTCGCTGAAAACGCGCAGTGTTTGTGGCTTAAGCCGTACAAAAGCTGAAACTCCTCTCGCACTTCTCTTTGCTAGCACGATGTCCGTCAGCGCAGAGGAAGTGGCAAAGCACAACACCGACAAGGACTGCTGGGTCATCGTTGGCGATCAGGTCTTGGACGTGACCAACTTCCTGGCAGACCACCCTGGTGGCAAGAAGAGCATCATGATGTTCGCCGGCAAGGACGCCACGGAGGAGTTCGACATGCTCCACGACCGCAAGGTCATCAAGAAGTACGGGCTGGACGAGGAGAGCTGCGCCGAAAATTGGAAGATAAATCATCCGATGTCTTACCTTCCAGTTCGCATGCACCCTAAGCATCTGTGGTTTGTGTGACTAGCTGCACTATCCCTGAGGGCACCGTGGTGTTGAAGGGCACCATCAAGAAGTGAGTGTCGACAGAAGTTTGATTTGAGGTTTTGGACCTCGAGCTTGTTTTGTGACAAGCCTTGCAAAAAGAGAAGCTGTGTACGGTCCATCCTGAGTTGCAGTACATATCTCAGAGACGTGTTTCAACGCGCAGTAGCAGGCTGCACTGTGTCAATCTCAGCCTGCAGGGAATGATGATGATCACGATGACGATGATGACGATGATGATGATGATGCTCATGATCATAATCATGATCATGATGATGATGATGATGATGATGATGATGATGATGACGATGAAGCAACTGCTCCGAAGCATTTTCGCTCAAGTCCGTGCCGAAGTGGCGTTGGCTCATACTCGTTACCCACTCGCTGTTGCTAGCACGATGTCCGTCAGCGCAGAGGAAGTGGCAAAGCACAACACCGACAAGGACTGCTGGGTCATCGTTGGCGATCAGGTCTTGGACGTGACCAACTTCCTGGCAGACCACCCTGGTGGCAAGAAGAGCATCATGATGTTCGCCGGCAAGGACGCCACGGAGGAGTTCGACATGCTCCACGACCGCAAGGTCATCAAGAAGTACGGGCTGGACGAGGAGAGCTGCGCGGAAAATTGGAAGATAAATCATCCGATGTCTTACCTTCCAGTTCGCATGCACCCTAAGCATCTGTGGTTTGTGTGACTAGCTGCACTATCCCTGAGGGCACCGTGGTGTTGAAGGGCACCATCAAGAAGTGAGTGTCGCCAGAAGTTTGATTTGAGGTTTTGGACTGCATAAGCTAGGTGCAAGCTGGCTCTGTGGCGAGCGTGCACCTGCACAGGATCAGTCAGACAAGCCGCGCAAACAAAAAAAGCTCCTTGCCGCCACTCAACTCAACCAAATGCTCCAGGACTCTACAGCAACAGGGCTGCATAGCGCCCAAAGTGACATATGGGCATTTCCCAAAATAGGGATACCCCTTGTATCCCTCAAATAGACTAGAATCCCCTTAAAGGGACCCCCAAAAGGGTACCCCCATTTTCGGAAACCCCCATATGATCCGCGTGCGCAGGCAGCGCAATCCCGTGCAAGTTCGCTGCCCGTTCCACCCGCAGCCGACGGCTTGCACTGAACTTTGACGCAAAGCATAGACCTTAATATGTATTGTACTATATTTTATTTCAGTATTTAATATTCTAGTATGTTATATTATTTTACAATATACATAGATATATATATAAATATGTATATGTTATATTATGTTAGATTATATTATATTGTATCATATTATATCTCCCGAAAGAGCTGTAAGCCCCGAACAACCTGTACTCCTAAAGCCCTGTAGAAAATCGACATGAACCACACAACTTCGAGCCATCCTAAACCCCCTCAACCCGAAACCCCTATGAAGTGCAATGAGTAGACGTCCCAGCCCTAGGCTCACGTCAACACTTGAAAGCCGCATCCGAGCAGCCGAAACGAACAAGGACAGGCAACGCACCCCAAACCCCCTAAACCCTAAACCCTAAACCCCACGAACTCCAAATCCACCAAAATCTTTCACCATGCGGGCGTACGCATGTCAGCTGGATCCTCAGGGGGCTCGGCTGACCTTTGCTGTTGGTTTAGGGTTTAGGGTTTAGGGTTTAGGGTTTAGGGTTTAGGGTTTAGGGTTAGGGTTTAGGGTTGAACCCCCCCGAAGCCTTTTCAGGGTTTATTGGGCTGGGGTGTAGGGTAGTCCGAGCCTAGAGCTGTCCTCAGCTCTTTTTTCAGAGGACTTGTTTTGACTTGGATGGTTTAGGGTTTAGAGTTTAGGGTTGAGGACCAGTGTACCCTAAACCCAAAAATCCTAGTACCCAACAACTCTTAACCTATCTCGAGATTTTCAGGTTGTCACGATGGCTGTGACCGTCGACGCCACACTTGCCGAGGCCATCGTAGGACTTAGGACTTAGGGTTTTCAGGGTTTAGGAAACCCTAAACCCTAAACCCTACCCCGAACCCCTAAAAAGGCATCCCAAATCACCCGACTGTTCACTTATGTTTCCCAACTGCAGTCTGGGAGGTCTGGCCAATAGACTCCAAGACTAGGGGGGGCCGGGGGACCTCCAGGGATCTCTGTTGAATCGGATGAGATCACGTTCGGAGCTATAGACCCTAAACCCTAAACCCTTCGGGCTCCGGATCGGAGAACTTGGGGCTCGTTGAGTTTGCCGTGGACTCCACGGCTTCTGTCAGCACGGCCTTCAACGGTTTGCAGGCTGTTGTGGATGTCAGTTGACCCTAAACCCTAAGCCCTAAACCCTAAACCCTAAACTGGTCTTGCCAACCGGCTGCCAAGATAGGGACTGATCCGAAGATTTGGGCCTGTGCAAACCCCAAAAGCCCTAATCCCTTAGGTTCAGGGCCTGTGGCTTTGGGTTTCGAATGGCCTTCAGGATTGACATTCGGATTCAGGGTCGGGGGGTTAAGGTTTAGGGTTTCGGGGGAGGTTCTGGGGGTTTGGGGTGTAAACTTGATACGGTTTAAGGCTTACGTTAAGGCTTACGGGTCATGATCCTCAAGCGCCGAAAAAAAAGAACTTCGCCCCCTACACCCTAAACCCTGAGCCCTAAACCCTCAGTAAAGGCGCACAGCCTCATCCAGAGCCTCCGCGCCGACCATGAGGCAAAGGGACAAACAAATAGAAAGGAGAGGTTCAGGATTCGGAGCTCTAAACCCTAAAGGGATTTGGGGTTTAGGGTTTAGGGTTCCTGCGCATGAGCAGTACAGTCCCAGCAAAAGGTGCGTTGCGCGTGTAGCTTGCAGTATTTGAGTAGGTTGTTTAGGGTTTGGGGTTTGGGGTTTAGGGTTTAGGGTTACCCTAAAGGGATTTGGGGTTTAGGGTTTAGCGTTTAGGGCCCTATACCCTATAAACCCCAAAGCTAAAAGCCGTAAAGTTTAGACTCGCGGCCCCTTACTTGTGGCTAAAGGGCTAGGGACTGTATGGCCTGCCTGTCAGGGCTTTGGGTTTGTAGGGTTTAGGGCTTAGGGGCTTTCATGCTGGGTGCGGTTTAGGGCTAGGGCTCAGGGTTTAGGTTTTGAACTTTGCTCGGTTTGGGGTTCAGGGTTGCTGTTCTGCTCTGTGCGGCATGTCAGGTCCTGCTAAGGGACGTTGCCCAATACTTCATGTTGAGGGGTTTAGGGTTTTGTGCTTAGGATTTAGGGTTTAGGGTTTAGCGTTTCGGGCTCAGGGCTTCATCAAATTCATCTGTGACGGGTACCCTCTCCCCAGAGCAGAAATTGCACAGCAAATGCATGGGCCAAGCCATAAACTGTCTGTCCCCCGACCCAACCTCATCATGAATACAGTTCTTGGACGTATGACCTACAAGCTGTGCGCGGGAGCAAAAAACGGGATAGGCACTCAGAACAATGCATGCGACGAAGCCTCCACGAGGTATTGCGAAGGTCTTTTCATCGAACATGCTCAGACAACAATGACAAGCGAAATTGCACTGCTCGTCGAGCTACAGGTTCTACTTAGCATAGCAGAAGCTTCCACAACCGGCTACCAAACATTTAGTGCCCTGAGCCTTTTCCTCCCTGTGGCCGGGGGAGGCAGACTACAAGACGATAACTCCAGCACACGTGCCATGTACAGTGACAACGTGTACTATAGGGGTCGGAAAAATCACAAATAGTATTCCCTTATGGTACCTTTCTAGTTGTACTTGAATACCCCCCCACAACCCTACTCTAACTCCCAAGGCCTCTATAGCATACCCTAAACCCTAAACCCCTAAACCCTGAACCCCTAAACCCCTAAACCCCTAAACCCCTAAACCCCTAAACCCCTAAACAGACGCGCTTGCTGGGCAATCAGTCAACACGAAAGCAAGTCGTATGGAGATGCATCGAATGTCGCTCCGCAACTCAGCTCAGCTAGGGCATCCGACAGGATGCACTTCATGTGGTCTTAGGGTTTAGGGTTTAGGGTTTAGGGTTTAGGGTTTAGGGTTTAGGGTTTAGGGTTTGGGGTTCACGCCTTCGTCTGGCAGAAGAGCCGGGACGTACCGCTTTCCGCTGAGAGGCCATGTCGTGCGGTACTGGGGCCGCCAAGACACCTATTGTTGGGCTACGTTGTCCCTGTTCAGGGTTTAAGGTTTAGGTTTTAGAGTTTGGGGTCTGTAGAGTTTCCAGGCAACATTAGCGGCCAGGCGGAAACCCCAAAGGTTCCTCATGTTTGTTTGGCAACATAGGGTTTAGGGTTTAGGGTTTAGGGTTTAGGGAATACCGCAACGTTGCTTCGGGTTTAGGTTTCGAGGAGGCGGATGTGCCCTGCTTCGGGCACCTTATATACCAATAGGAACATACGAGAAGACAGACCCAGAAACCCTAAACCCTAAACCCCAAACCCTAAACCCTAAACCAGGCCCCCCATGACTGGGATGAGCCCACATATCCCGAAACCTTCACAGTCTGCCCCTGGAGGCCTTGCGAAGCGAGGTCGCGGCGCTGAGGGACGAACTCACCGCGCCGGGGGCCCCCGCCGGGGTTTAGGGTTTAGGGTTTAGGGTTTAGGGTTTAGGGTTTAGGGTTTAGGGTTTAGGGTTTAGGGTTTAGGGTTTAGGGTTTAGGGTTTAGGGTTTAGGGGGGTTAAGGGGACGGTAAAAGGTTGGGGTGTTTCAGGGCTTTCGGTGTTTAGGGAATTTGAGGACATGTCGGTGTTTGGTACCATGGAGGCTTTGCGGCTTACGCAGACGGGCTTTCAAGGAAGGGCTTCTGGAGCTGAATGGGAAGCATGAAATACTAAGAGTCATATATCAAATACACACACATATATATATATATATATATATGTATGTATGTTGCTGTTCTTCTTAGTACTGTTCTTAAGAGCATAAGACACGATTCATTTTAGTACATGTAATTGTATGTTTGTGTCAAATACAACCCCCGTGCTTCGACCATCATGTGAAGCAGGGCATGTAGTACTGTTATTGGTGAGTGTATATAAGGTTCCTTTTTAATATTGGTGAGTGTATATACTTGGTGACCCTAAACTCTAAACCCTTCTTCATGTGGGAAGAAGACCCCAAGCTGAAGCCCTGAGGCTGCAGGGGAGAGCCAGCGCCGCAGCTGAAATTAGCAGGGTTCAGGGTTCAGGGTTCCGGGTTCCGGGTTCAGGGTTTAGGGTTTAGGGTACGGGGGGACAACCAAGGAAGGAAATCAACTCCCCTAATCGCCCTGAACTTATATTTCCCAGATCGAACCAAGAAACAACCAAGAACACGGATAAGAGCAACAAGGAAGGGGCACCTTTACACAAGTAGAGGGGCACTAACCCAACCCTCACTCCCAAACACGGACTTTTTTCTTTGGACGGACTGGCCATCCTTGAGCCAAACATAGTTTACGGGTTCATTAACCCTTTCCACTTCCAACACTAACTCCTTTCTACAATACCACTTGCAGCTCCGCACTCCCCCTGTCCTAGGATTTCCTAGGACACATTGGAGATGCAGGTCTTTTGGCCAAAAACTGCCATTAAGGCAGCAGCCAGCTGCTTGAAATGCAAGTTGTGGTTTAACGTCTTCCAGGACTGAATTATAGCACATTGGCTAACCTACCACCCATAGAGAATCTCTTTTCACCATGATCCTCTCATCACTGAAGACTCCTTGGCCTTCTTCACCACAAACCGTGGTCTTCGCTACGCGAAAAGCTACTGACTTCTACTATCAGGGATTTCCATACCCTTAATAGTAACCACCACATTGTCAGCACATTGGCTGTTCCAGCGCACCCGTCTCCAGAAAGAGAAAAACTATCCCTTCATCCATACCATCCAATCACTTCTTTTTCCGATTGTTGGCAATCTTGAGGTGAAGTTGCAGCAGAATATACTCCAGGTCCGAAACTGTAAGAACAGGATCCTGTACGCCCCTTTGAATTGAGGATACCAATCCTTCTCTCTTTGCGTCCTCAATCGCCTGGCAAGATTGACCCAGCTCTTCATTCGCAGTGGCAGACCCTGGTGCATCCGCATCAGATGGACGATCCTTTTCTTCAGGATCTTGCACCATTACCACCTCTTCTTTTTTGGGACTCTGACTTTTCTCCCTCTTCTTTGTCTTTCCACCGACATTTGACTTTGTGCGCGTCTTCGAGGATTTTTCCACTGCAGAAGCCATTTTCCACTGCAGAAGCCACCACATTGGATGTTGATCCACCCTTCTCAATGATCGTCGGCATCTTCTTCGGCTTTGGAACCATGAGAGTGTAAGGATCTTCGATAGCTGCAGCTTTCCTCTTCTTTTTTACCTTTTTCTTCTCTTCTTCAACGGCAACCTCCGTCTCCGAAGTCTCAACCACTCCTTTTTCGGCAGGAATATCCTTGCTGGACTCCCTTTCTAGGGATCTCTTTTTACCTCTTTTGGGATCCTTTTCTTCTCCCAAATTGGCTCGCTCATACCATATCCTCAGGTCATTGACCCATTCTTCCACCTCCGCGAGCGAAACCTCATACGACTTCACTACTTCGAGAAGTTCCAGCACGGACAACATTTCAGTGGTCCACGAAACCCATACTTGATCCATTTGGTCAGCATCTCCAGTGAACTTCAGGAGTTTGAACAATGGGTCCGCCTCTGCTCGAGCCAAATCTGGCTTGCCACCGGAGAGAAATGAAATCGCCTCCATCAACAGTTCCGTCATCTTGGTCTCTTCGTCATAAACCATAAAATCCTCCTCATCATCATCGAACTGTTCAGGAGAGATCTCCTTTTCTCCACCATTTGCACCAGACTTTCTCCTTGGACCATCCCTTGGGGGCGTCCTTGGAGACCTTGGCCTCTGTTCTTCCAACGGAACACCATGCTCGAAGACACACCTGTCACCAAATCGACACTTCCCAGACCGAGCAAACTGGACGCACCTCACACCAGTTGCATCATGCGAGAACCCACAATCCTTTCCAGCGAAACATTCTCTCCCTGCCACATAGTATTTGCACCAATATGAATGTAGCACCACATCATCTTCGGAATGGATGAATTTGCAGTCGTCACCGAATTTGCAGCGATCTTTCCCCCTGCCGAACCAATAGCAGAAACCCTTCTTCCTCTTCTCCAAGCGCTCTGCCTCATACCGGTCCATAGGGCGATTGTGCTCTACATGAACATTGCCATGTACCTGGGGACTGCTCCCTTCACCCGACGTGCTATCAGTATTTGGTGCTTGGAGTACAGCTGGAAAACCTGGCCTTGGTCCTACCACCTTCATGATCGGTTTTCCGCCAACTCCTGAGCCATGCTGAGACGATCCAAAAACATTGAACATCTTCATGAAGGCCTTTCTAGTGCCAATCTTCTGCACCCTTTTGATTGGACATTTCATTGCTCCAACCTTGCATCCAGATGCGTTCAAACGACACAACCTCCTATAACCAACTCTATGTCCCTTCTTCCAAAGAGCCATAAGAATTTTAGAGGCAGTAACATTCTCCACCTCTACCTTTTCCAATGGTCCCTCACTTCCCGGAACAAACCCATCCATATCTGAAGACCTTTCCATCTTTTTTGACACCACTTCGTCGAGGTAGTCTTCCGAGATCCAGGGTAAGTTCCCCTTAGAGGAAGGATTGTCATCATTGTTTGGTCCTTCACCAGGATACCCTTTTGTGCTGTCAAAGATCTTACCAGTAGTGCGGTCCTGCATAGAGAAATTCGAAGCCACGCGGGAGTACACTGACCACAAGAAAATCCTTGTGTCCGCCAGTCTTGATGACCCACTGGGATGTCTCCTCTTCCGGAGAAACTTCTGGCGCTTTGCCATCCCCTCCAGTGTCACCACTTGTCTCACCTCCAGCATCTTCAATGGGAATAAGGGATTCATTGTTCCCTTGATCAAGCACCGCACCCTCTGGTCCAAGAACTTCCAGCACCGCTGTCGAAGGATCCACCTCTTCATCAGCATCATCGTCCATCCTTCTCCAGAGAGCCTCCAATTGGACCCTTGGGCTCCCAGATTCAGGAATGGGTGAACCATTTTGGCTACCCTCGCCATAAGTTCAATATGAACTTCCATGCCTGGACTGCGGCTCCAATCATAGGCAATTGCCTCCATAGCAGTTCCAAACTTGTCAGTATTCTTGAATTCCCCTTCCAGGCCAGGAGACAACAAGGCACCCATCACTGAAAGAGGATAATTCCCCACCGCCGGCAAGCACGGGTTGTCATGGAACGAATGATGCAGGTCAGCATAATGTCCTTGATCTCTCCTTTGAAAAAGGAGTGCTCCAGTCCCTAGCTGGGCATTCATTTCATCCACTTGAACCATTTCAGCACATATCCTCTGTGCCATGTACGCCATTGCTGGCCAGACGGAACGATCGGTAAGACCGCGACGCATAACCCAATCAGTTGTTGGCGACTGAATCAGCGTCCTTGGATCATACACCAGAACAACCATTGCACCGTCACCCATTGACTGATCAGCATCGTCCTCCAGTGCCAGGTTCTCATCCTGTTCGCTTGCACCCTCGGATGACATGCTAATAACCAAATTTCGATCCATCTTATTGGACCCTTTTTGGCAGTCTCTTTGCCCCACCGGCAACTTGCCAACTGCAACCTTCCAATAAATCCGAGTCAGAAGGCCTTTAACCAGCAATTGCTGAAGGTCACTCCTCACCGGACCACCATCCAACATCTTCGCATCATCACCACGGAGGTCATTGCTCCCACCTTCTCCTTCTTTTTGGTCAGTCTCCTCGCCAGAAATCTGTACTGCTCCTTCCGGCGCCGTCTCCTGTCCAGCCACTTCTTGCCCAGGAAGAACTTGAGCGCTTTCAGAGACATTCACCTGTCCAGCAACACCTTGCCCAGGTAAAACCTCATCCGTGGAGCCCACCGCCAGCGAACCAACCATAACTGAACCATCCCTTGCTCTTTTTTGAGACCGTTCAGCTCGACGAGAAGGTTGTGGTAGCGAAAAAACTTGTGAAGTCACTTCTTGGCGGGTCTCCCCCCGCGACGCTTTGTCGCGCCCTTCGCCAAGGTGAACCGATTTTTTCGGCCCGTCATTGGAGCCTGAAGAACCACTTTGCGGAACATTGCCACGATTCGCAGTTCTCTGTGAATCCCTTTCTTGCAAAAAGATTTCCTTCAGGCGTTGTACGGCATTGGTCTCCTCTTCGCTTGAATCGCTTGAGGAAGCGGCATACGAGACCAAAGCCTCCGCCTGTTCATCATCATCCACCACATCTGCCCACGCTCTGCTGAACCGATACGACAACCCACCACGAGGCTTCAGTTCCAGTGGCTTCGGCTTTTCCACCACTTCCGCCGGTTGCACTCGTCGTTGTGACCGAGAGCGTGGCACCTGTCGCACCTGTTTTTTGTCCAGCAAGGGCCTTCCCCTTCTCACAGGGTTTGATCTTGACCGATACTTTTTTGTTGGTGGATTCACCGGCGGCATTCCAACTCCCACCAACCGCAGCTTCTGTACGCACAACGGAGACCTCTGCGCAAGCGTCCAACCATCACGGTACCTGACCTTATCAAAAAGCTCCCGATAGGAGCCTCTCGGCATAGTTTTTGCACCGGAGTCTTCAGCTTCACGCACCTGAGTGAGGGTTCGCACCGCCGCTCTTCCAGTCCCTTTGTTCCCAGAAGATTGTTGTACCCGTACAGATGCATCAGAAGGAACTGCCTTTTCCGGTCCTCCCGGCCGATATCGGACATCACCCACCAATTGCAGAATTTTGCATGCGGTCACTTTGTTGATCCCTTTGTCAACCAAATCTTCCACAAAGATGAACTCTTGCAAGTCCGACACATTGGTCACACCAAGCGTAATCATCACCTCACTTACATGAGGGGTATACACCCACAGGTGTGCGTTGCGAGCCATCCAATTTTCAATTGGCTCCTCCGGATTTTGAAGCTGAGTACCAGTGGATGCAGCCACTGAATTCTTTTGTTCATCAGCTTCTGCTTCATCCAGAGTACCTTTTTCACCATCTTTTTGTGACACATTGGTCATTTGCAGTGCTTTCGGTGCCGAGGATGAGGAAGATTCAGCTCCCCCACTTGCAGGCGGCTGAAACGTGCTTCTATCCGTAATCTCCCATCCTCTCTCTTTTTCAAACCGGACCTGATTGGCCACCTGTACCAAGTGTTTCAGGAGCGACAGCCGCTCCTCTGACATCTCGTCATGGGAGTACTTGCAGAAATTTAACCCTTTCCGGCAACGTCCTCGAAGGTAATAATCGAAACAGCAATTGTGGAACCCTGCGTCCCTTAGTGACTTCCTGGAAGCATTGTCCCAAGATTTGCCGGGCTCCCAAGTCCCTTCCAATGCTATGTCATCGTTGTGAAGGTACCTGCATGCAGTCCCATATTTACAACCACCTTGATTGTAATACAGACACAGCCGACCTTTTGGCTCACCTGACGTAGGCTCACCCTTTGATGCACCTTTGCCAAAATTGTACTTGGCCCGGAAGGCTAAATCCTCCCGCTCCTGCTGTGCCTCATCCACTGTACCTTCCTCTGTGGGAGGGTCACCGATGTTCCCATCCTCATCATCAGCTTCTTGGCTATTCTTTGGATCAGTTGACCCTCCTCCTGGCCAACCTTCACCATAACGACGATGCTCATAGGAACACTCATCACCATTGCGACACCTTCCCCGATTGAAGAACTTGCACAGCTTGCTGTAACCAGGTGACAACACAGTCTTTGGTGTCATGTAAGCCTTTTTGTACTGGTCAGGGTCCATGTAGGCTTCCATTGGCTTGTTCTCCCTTTTGCTCATGGATTGCACTGCACCATCAAGCTCCTGCAAAAATAGCTTGGTGTCCAACCAAAGCGCGTTCCAAAACTCATCTTCCCCTTGATTCAGCACCGTTGCCACCGCTTCACCCACAACTGGTCGAGAAAATCTCCTTTTTTTGCATGCCAGTTCGAAAAGCGCGTTGTGGTACTGTTTTCGGGAAAAAGTGGTTAACTTCCCCAAGCCTGTGCTTTCTGTACCATCAGGCTTCCAACCACCATTTTGCAAGATGCCATACGCGCGCCGAGCTTCCGCATTGAGGAATGCCTGATCTGCAACACACTCCTGTAAATCTTCCATCGGGCGACCCAACAGCATCCCTGTAATTTTGCCAACATAGGCTTCCTCTTCGTTTCCATTCTCCAGAAGAGCTTTGTAGATCTTTTCTCCATAAAGTTGTCTTTCTTCTCGTTCTTCAGAGGATAACTCCTGTACCACAAGCTCCTCATCGGATTGCTCTTCCTCCTGTTTCCAGTCCCATTGACCGTTGGAATCTCGGTACCACTGACCAACATACCATGAATTCGTCCACCACGTACTCCAGCCGCTGGGTTTCCACTTCCGCAGCGTTGAGGAAGAGTCCTCCACGTCCTCTTCCAAAACCAGAAAGGTGTCCAAGATTATGGTACCATCATCTTCCACTAGTTTCACTGTTCCATTGACAGTATCACCAAATCTGAAATGACACGTATTGTTCCCTTCTGCAGGAATCAATACATTCAAATCACCAAGGTCCAAAAAGGCTCCATACCCATTGATGCAGCGCACTAGACCCATGATCTCATCTCCCTCTTGATAGCAATGTGTCCCAGGTGATTCCAAGGCTCCCGCTCGGGGCACTTTCTTTGCGTGCTCTTCAGAAACCACCTCTGTATCATCGGCTCCTGGCGCATCCTTTGTTTTCACCTTTGAGTCACACTGCTCGTCCTGCTCCACGAGTCCCACAAGCTCATCTTTTTTGTGCTCCTGGACTTCAGGACCTCTCTTTTTCTCCGCCAAAGGCTTTGCCTCATCTGCTGTAATTCGCTCGGTGTCGACTTCCGGCGAACTTCCAGACGGCAACACTTCTCCCTTCATGGGAGTGGACCCATCATTGGAGTCCTTTGTCACACCTTCTGCAGCAGGCAAATCTTCCTCCACTGCAGGGCAATTGAGTCGATCATCCACGGCAGGCACGCTTTCTTCCACCGCAGGCTCCTTTGGTTCCATGGCTTCCAAAGGAGAATTTCCACCATCATTGACCACAGCTGCCTCATTGGCTCCGGTGTAGCCCTTGTCATTTCGTTCCTCGCGGCTAACTTCAGGTTGCACCAGTGCGTCCACCTGTGAACCTCCATCATCAGCTGCTGCGGAGACCTGCGCCCCATTGTTGCAGTCGCCCGTGGAACGTAACGCCATATGCACCTCAACCCGTGCTTCCTTCGCACTCCAGGTAATATCTGGCGCATCGACCCGCGCATCATTGGCGCTCCAGGCCTCATTTTTCAGATCTTCTGTGTCTCCAGCTATTCCAGAAGCTTCTTTTTCCCTTTGAATGGCAGGAACCTTGGCACCAAACGAAGAGACCTCCTCAGTCGCAACACACGACCTTTTCCCTCCGTCTTCCAAATCTCCAGGACCACATTCCTGAACGACAGGTACCACATCCACCACTCGATCTTCTGCAGCCGACACAGTTCCGATCTCCACATTGGGAATCTTTTCTTCTGGACCTACCGATTCCACCGCTGCCACACCCTCAGAAAGTGCTCCTATTCCTTCCCGATCCAGATGTTGAGCTCCAGCGATGTCTGTTCGGTTTCCAGAAATCTCCTCCTCATCAGGAGAACCCGAGGTCGGGGCGTCACCACCAGCCCTAGGACCGCTATCCCTGATAGTAGAGGAAAAATCTTTTTCACCTAAACTATTTACACTACCCTGGAATGCCCTCGTAGACTCAGTCTTCGGAGTAGAGGATGAAGAATCCAGTGCCGCCTCCATTTCCAGCTCATTGCCCGAAGGAGACCCAACCACCTCGTCACTCTTCATCTTTTCACCTACCACCGGCAATGTCCACTTGCTTTCCTGCGTATCCAGGCAGTAATAATATTGTCTCCCATCTTCATGGAGGTGCCATTCCCACGTTGTCCCATCGCACGCTTTGATCAGATGCTCGTCTTTCCGAAAACCATCCCTTTCAGAGACCTGTCGCATCTCGTCCTCTTCTTCGGACAACTGTCGCAACCTCTCAGCCTCCATCTGTAGGATCTCCTCCTCCCCCATGGCGTATCCAGCAGCAGGTGCAGCTTCAAAGCTGTCCGCACCCTTCTGTTCATGACCGCTTCCACCACCTTGGGAACTCGAAGATGGATCCCTTTTGATCTTGTTCAGAGGCCTCCTGGCCGCTTGCAGCACTTCTCCAATCAGATCGGTCTGAGACTCTTGGTCTACCATTCGACCCGAAGTCGAAGACGACGGCTGATACCCGTGTTTGTGCAACACTCGTAAAACAGTCACCTCCATTTCACGATCTATACCACCAGTCGCGTCCCAGTTCCTTTTCTCACCAGGCTTTGGCGATACAGAAACAGCACGTCCTTCAGCTTCAGCATTGCTAACCATATCCCCATTGGGATTCATACCCACATTGGGGCTTTCTGCAACCAAGGCCTCTTCCAGATGTTCTTCAGCGCCGGGAATCACCTCTTCCAACACCGATCTTTCACCCAGAGACTCAGCTGCACCATTTCCAGCTCCACCATCTTGTCCACCATCCGAGGCAAGTTGGAGCCATCGCTTCGGAGAAGGCATTGCTTCTTGATCCCAAAAACCTTGAAAGAACACTTCACCGCAGGGAACCTAATTTGGGCTCATAACCTACGGGGGGACAACCAAGGAAGGAAATCAACTCCCCTAATCGCCCTGAACTTATATTTCCCAGATCGAACCAAGAAACAACCAAGAACACGGATAAGAGCAACAAGGAAGGGGCACCCTTACACAAGTAGAGGGGCACTAACCCAACCCTCACTCCCAAACACGGACTTTTTTTTTTGGACGGACTGGCCATCCTTGAGCCAAACATAGTTTACGGGTTCATTAACCCTTTCCACTTCCAACACTAACTCCTTTCTACAATACCAATTGTAGCTCCGCATAGGGTTTAGGGTTTAGGGTTTAGGGTTTAGAGCTCTTGTAGGGTTGAGGGTTTAGGGCTCGGGCTACTGGAAGGTTCATGGTAGTTGTAAGGTTGTAGTAATATTAAGAAAAGGCAATAAGAAAAGATAGTGGTAGTATAAGCACAGGCTTTCAGGATTTTTGAGCGGGCTTTTTCGTGTTTGAGAACTTAGGGTTTGTAGAATGTCTAGGAGGTCACGAGTGTTTTTTTGAAAGGTGGCACCACACCCTTCGTGTTGAAGAAGCGCATACAAGGTTTCCGCCTTACGGTTGGGCATTCCGCCTCACAATAGGTTGCCTTCATGCTCCAGCAGTACCAGCAAACGACACAGGGATGCATCAACTGCGCAGCAGGCAAAGCAACGCCGGACAGCGGACCCTAAACCCTAAACCGTAAACCCTAAACCCTAAAGTCACTCGGGATGCCACCGGCGCTCGATCAGCCGCAGGGTGAGCCAAACCTATTCTGCAGAATTTGGGCCCTCAACTTCGAGATTTTAAACGGGTCGATGAAAAAGTCCGGCGCCCCCCTACAAGCCCCCACGCTATGGTAGAGAAGCGGAGGGAGATGGCCTCCACCCGCAAAAGGTCCAGGACGCCATGGAGTCTTTTAGGGCTTGATTCAGTTTAAGGCGTGTATATGGGGGGTTTCCAAAAATAGGGGTACCTCATTAGGGTCCTTATTATACAGGAATCCTCCTATTTGGGGGTCTATATTGGGGGTCCCTGATAAACCCCCATATAGGGAGCAGCGATGGCTTTCATAAATTGGGGTCAGCTCCGTCGAGCACCGTGGCGATGTCGAAGAAGCAGCGAGCCCCCCTACGCAAGGGCCTCCCATCATGCGCCTGCCAGGGCGCATCACAAAGAGGTCTGAAAGTTGAAGCCTCAAAAACCCTTGAAGGTATGCAAGGAAAGCAGTTTTCGCACTGCATACCCACATTCTGGCAACTTGCCTCAAACGCCTCGACAGCAACCCTAAGCCTAAACCCTAAACCCTAAGCCCATAACCCAGAACAGTTGCCCCCTGGAAAGCGCCCCGGCTCATCTTAAGGCCTCGGAGCGCAAAGACACTCACAACAGGGGCCGCTCCGCAGCAAACCGGTATTCGGGTTTAGGGTTTAGGGTTCAGGGTTTAGGGTTTAGGGTGTGTTCTCTTTGGGTTTAGGGCACTCGGTAGGCCCTTGGGATATTTTGTGAGTCCGCTCATTGGGAATAAGGGAACCATATCTCAGAATATTTTTCAGAGGGCTTTAAGGGCAACCTAGGGCGGTAAGCTACCTCTTTGAGTCTCTCGGAGCCCCTGAAACCTCTAAAACCCTATAACCTAGAAATCGTCAACCTCAAGACCTAAGAGTCTATAAATCTAAACCCCTAGAACTTGAAGTTCTAGATTTAGTGCAGCCCGGTTCCCATACAGCAAGAGTGGCTGATTTGGGAAATAGGAGCAGGCTACTACTCCGTGGGGGCCTTCCCTCATTATCTGCAAAGATTCGTGAACACTTAATTACTGGGAACCACACTGAAGACCGAAACCCTAAACCCAAACCCTAAACCCGTGCACCCTGAACATTGTGGAGGGTTTAAGTGTCTACTCTGCCTGCTCAGGGTGCGTTCCCCCAACGGCTCGGGCCTCAACCGCTCGTCGCGTGAGCACGCGTGAGCAGTTTGGGGTTGAGGCTTTAGGGTTGTAGGCTTTTTCAAGGGATCAACCGAAATCAGAATGTTGTGAAAACACAGGCTTTGGGTGTAGCGTGTTTCGGGATCCTGCAGTTCGTTCAGAAATATGCGCAGCACTCTAAGTTGCGGTTTGTGTGAACCCTAAGTAGAAGGGCTGTACTATACTAGGCACCCCACAAGGGCCACTAGATAAAAAGGCACCAAGCACTTGACTTCATGAAGGCATCACACATATAATATGATATACTATTGTAATTATTTATCTTGTTTTACTCTTATTTCATTTTGTATATTATGTACTACATATTGTATATGGTCTCTTATATTATATATATATATCATAATAATAATAATAGTAATACTAGTAATAATAAAAACTATAATAATGATAATGATAATAATAATAATAATATAGTTCTATATATATATATATACACCTTGTGTTATGAAACATGTATTGTATACTATACAGTATATTATTTACTATCTCATATATACATATATATATATATATATGCACACCCCCCCCCCCCCCCCCCCCCCATGACCATATATATATATACATTGTTTAGTAGGGTTTAGGTTCAGAGCTTAGTCCCCTGAATCAAACTCTTTTAATGCTGCCGCCGGATCCCTAATTGAGACCTGCGCCCTTAGGGTGTATGTTTCGTCGTGTGGTCCAAGGCGTACAATAACGCAACCATTAGGGGTTTAGGGTTTAAGGTTGAGGGTTTGGGATTTAGGACTAGAACAACTATTGAGGTTCCCTCCCTGGTTTTCCTGCAGCCTAGGCCCTGGCGACCTGCGCCGGAAAAGTGCCGAAACCAAGCGGCTCGGCTGAACATGTTTTCATTCGGCGTTTACTTAGAGGCTCATGGGTAGTTCTTAGCTGGTCATAAGCAGGGTACAAGCATCGCTGGCTAGAACCTTATTTAGCGTATCTAAACATGAACCTTCAAGCAGTGTGTTCTGTCGGGGGTTTTTGGGCTTGAGGGTGTAGAGGTGTACACAATATTGGGGTCGGAAAAAAAGTACCCCTCTATTAAGCTTCCGTGCTGAGAGGTCCCTGTGGTGAGAGGTAAGGGTCTTGGGTCTTGGCTTCAAGGGTTCAGGGTTCAGGGTTTAGGGTTTAGGGTTTAGGGTTTAGGGTTTAGGGTATTCCTAAAACCGAAAGCCGCAACTCCTAAGACGCCTCCAAAAGCAACAAGCTGTGCTCGCAAGCCAGAACCCCAAAAACCCTTCAAACAAACCCTCCATTCCACCTGCCCCCCCTCTCCTTCTCAAAAAAAAACAAAGGAAACACGAATTTCAAATCCCTGGGTTTCAGATTCTTTGAGGATGGTTGAAGGGTAAGGTTTCGGGTTGAGGTTTTATGGTTCAGGGTTTAGGGTGTAGGGTTTAGGTAAGCAGTATACACACACGAGGAGAGAGTCCAGATGAGAGACCCTCGATGGGCACGGAAGCTGTCAACCAGAGGGAAAGCATAGACCTTACCCTAAACCATACGCCCTAAAAGAGTTACATGGGTGGTTGTCAAAATTATGGTCCCTTTCTGGATCCCTACGGCACCCAATATTTACGGTACCCCAAAAGGGATCATAATTTTGACAACCACCCACATGGTCACTTAATATGGTGCCTTACCTTCTTTAAAGGGTTCTGAAGTACTGGCCCTGGGGTTTCACAGGGTACGTAAGAGGCTCTGTTAAGGTTCCTACATTTAAGGGCCCATATTGAGGGACAGCGTAACTACCCCAAAACCCCGCACCCCGAACCCAAGACCGAATCCTTGTAGAGGTGGTGGCGTGGGAGGCTTTGAGGTGTTGAGGGTGTGCAAAGCCTTAAACCCTGCACCTCTAAAGCCCCAAACCCTCAACCCTTAAGAAGGAATGCGCACTTTGCCAGGTTGGGTTGAGGGTCTGGGAGGCTGGAGCCGTCCGACCTCCCAAGCCGTCAACACAGCATTAGGGTGTTGGGTTAAGGCTTTGCGCGGCCCTAGGCCCACACCCTGAAGCCTCGCGCCTAAAACCCTAAAGCCTAAACCCCAAACCCTAAACCCTAAAACTTAAACCCTAAACCCTCCCCAAACCCTAAGCCCGAAACCCCGAGCCTCTGAACGCCAAACTCGACCCTTGTCCAGGTCGGGGCGCCCTTCGTTTCTCGGGAGCCCGGCGTATGACCGCGCCTGAGGGCAAAGGTTTTCGGGTTTAGGGTTTAGGGTTTAGGGTTTAGAGCTCTTGTAGTGGGAGTTCGGGTTCCGTACACCTGCTTTTTTCTGCGGCTGCGGAGCGCGAGCCCTAAGCCCTCAAACGTAAATTCTGAACCCTTCGCCCTGAACATAGAGTCCCGTCAAGCCCAAAGCCCTTAACAGTTTGCCATGAGAATCCTCCTTGACCAGGCGTTAAACCTTTCTTCCTCGACTAAACTCAGCGAGCAAGAGGCAGGCCCTAAACCCCTAAACCCCTAAACCCCAAACCCCAAGCCCTAAACCCCAAACCCCAAACCCTAACCCTAAACCCCCAAACCCTAAACCCCAACCCTAAACCCTAAACCCCCACTTCTACAGTAGCTGCCCATGAGCCCTCAAAGTCGACGACTCCCCTAAACCCTAAACCCTAAACCCTAAACCCTAAACCCTAAACCCTAAACCCTAAACCCTAAACCCTAAACCCTAAACCCTAAACCCTAACCCCGGGGCCCGAGGCTTCGCCTGCCCGAAGAACGAGCAAGGCTGAGAGCGGAGGCGCCTGGGCCTTCGAAGTTGTGGTTGGCAGAGGTTTAGGGTTTCAGGGTTTAGGGTTTAGGGTTTAGGGTTTAGGGTTTAGGGTTTGAGGGTTTGGGGGTTTGGGGGTTTGGGGGTTTGGGGGTTTGGGGGTTTGGGGGTTTGGGGGTTTGGGGGTTTGGGGGTTTGGGGGTTTGGGGGTTTGAGGGTTTGGGGGTTTGGGGGTTTGGGGATTTGGGGGGGGGTTTGGGGGTTAAGGGTTTGAGGGTTTAGGGTGGGAGGCCCTTAACCCTAAACCTCTGTTGCCTTATATATTTAAGCCTTAAGGTCATTCGTCGACAAGGCACAAGGAGCCTAAGGTTTATGGATTGAGTGAACTTTCTATATTCCTACTGCTGTGGGATCCAAAGGGTGGGTGGGTAGATCTTCAAACCGAAGTCATGAGCTTAACTAGTGACTACTTGAACTTGAAATGCTGAACCCGAAACCCCAAACCCTAAACCCCAAACCCCAAACCCTAGACCCTAAACCCTAAACCAACCCTGAACCTTCCGCGAGGTGCTGGGCTCTTCAAGGCCGCCCAGCCACTCTTACAGCCAGGCACCCAATACGCAGAAGTCACCGAGTTCAGGGTATAGGGTTTAGGGTTTAGGGTAGACCTTTGTCGCAACACTCTTTTGCCTTTTCTGGGCCATCTGTTCCTGGACGACCTGGGTTTAGGGGTCCATGGGGTTTCTGATACACAGTAGTGTTAGTTCTATGATGACTGTTATTGCTGTTCTTACCGTCATGATTATTCTTACTACTGCTTGAAGGTTCATGGGAAGTTATAAGGAGGGTTATAAGTACCCTAAATAAGCTTAGAACCAGTTATAATCATAGTTACCCTTACTTGTAACCCCACTTCCAACTACCCATGAACCTCCAAATAGTATCTCGCAGCGCCAGCACTGTGCTACTTCTGCCTGAAGCCAATTTTGGCCAGCTAGGTGCGAAGGTTTCAGTAGACTCAAGTAGTCTTGACGCCATGTTTCTGCCTGAGACAGCAGACCTTGCTCTTCCGTTGATGTTCGCTATGTGGTTCTTCTGGGGGATCTGGCCCTCCCTCCGAAAGCAAGGCGGCTCCAAAAACGAGCATTTCGGCTTGACGCACGTCCTATTTCAGGCGTCCACGTCTGTTTTCTGGTGTCTAAGCCTTGGCATGATGACTCCATCCGTACAGCACTTCGACTCAGAGCAGTTTACGACTGTTCTCCGGAAAGAGATGGCAGAGAAGCTTGCTAGCCCAGTGGTACCCTTTTCCTTTTTTTGGGTTCAAGGTTCCCTTCTAAAGCAACCAAACCCAAGCAAGGGTGCCCTTACTATGGTTACTGGGGTACCAAGGAAGTTTCCCGCAGCCGCCTTTGCCTTTTTTGGTGGCATGATCGTTTGCTCCGGCGATTCTCTCGTAGCAAAGGCCATTGAGGTGGGGGAGAGGGGTTGCCAACGTCAGAATATTTGTATTATGAACAATCGTAAAAGTAGTAAGCAACGCTAACCACATGCAAATCACAGTAGTCATGGGGTTTGAATTTTTGTTTGGGAGACTTGAGGGTATAGGGTATTGGACTTGTGGATTAGGGCCCACTAGCTTGCCAGGGTAAGGGCCTGGGATTAGGATTTTGTGTTGAGAAACCTTCCATGTACCCCACCCATGTAGAGCGCGTCCAGGTGCTTGGTGTCGCAATCGCAGCTCCCACAGGCTTTGGCTTCTAGGTTGCCGGCAGGTTTAGGGTGTAGGCCCAAAGGAATTCGAATCAAGATGTAACAGGAGCTGGTAGGAGCTTTCCTTGAAATTGTCACAGGGATTCTTACACACAGAGACACACAGAGACACGCAGAGACACGCGGTGGTAGTGGTGATGGCAGTGTTGGTAGTGGTGGTAGTGGTCGTGGTCGTGGTCTTGGTCGTGGTCGTGGTAGTGGTAGTGGTAGTGGTAGTGGTAGTGGTGGTAGTAGTTGTCGTCCTAGTAGTAGTAGTAGTAGTAGTAGTAGTAGTAGTAGTAGTAGTAGTAGTAGTAGTAGTAGTAGTAGTAGTAGTAGTAGTAGTAGTAGTAGTAGTAGTAGTAGTAGTAGTAGTAGTAGTAGTAGTAGTAGTAGTAGTAGTAGTAGTAGTAGTAGTAGTAGTAGTAGTAGTAGTAGTAGTAGTAGTAGTAGTAGTAGTAGTAGTAGTAGTAGTAGTAGTAGTAGTAGTAGTAGTAGTAGTAGTAGTAGTAGTAGTAGTAGTAGTAGTAGTAGTAGTAGTAGTAGTAGGTAGTAGTAGTAGTAGTAGTAGTAGTAGTAGTAGTAGTAGTAGTAGTAGTAGTAGTAGTAGTAGTAGTAGTAGTAGTAGTAGTAGTAGTAGTATAAGGCTGTCAATACTACAATAACCAGGATGTCTAAGCCCCCAGCCCTGACTTTTCACCTTAAACCCTAAACCCTAAACCCTAAACCCTAAACCCTAAACCCTAAACCCTAAACCCTAAACCCTAAACCCTAAACCCTAAACCCTAAACCCTAAACCCTAAACCCTAAACCCTAAACCCAAACTCAGGTTTTGCAATGGTGTGGGGGACAGCAGCGAGCTATGCCATTGAGCCCAAGGCTGATCCAGCCCTCCTGCTTCTGGGTTGTGAAAGAGCGCAGGGTTCATGGGGTTTTGTGTTTTATGGTGTGGGTTCTAGGTTTTAGGGTTCCGGGTTTTAGGGTTGAGGTTTTTAGGCTTTGGGTTTTGGGTTAGCAAAATCGCATGCAAAACGCTCCAAAAACAAGCGTCGCCAGAACACATTTTGTGTTTCATTCTTCTTGGTATACCTGTGTTGATTCAGAATTAGGCTTTGAAGATCTTCTGATCTTTAAAACCCTAAACCCTAAACCCTAAACCCTAAGCAACAACCCCAGGTTTCCCGGTCTTGCGGCCGGTCTGATTGGTTTGCTTAGTGATGCGGCTTCAAAGGCAGAGCCGGCGGAGCCCGCGGAGCCCATGAACACGTCTCTTCGTCATAGTCGGGTACCATTTGGTATTTTTACTGAAACCCTATAAGGAATTTTACTGAAACCCTATAAGGAATAGAAAAGTTAAGTTGTATTTTTAAGGGTACTTAAAACCCAATAAGGACTAGAAGTTTAAAGTCTTAATATTTTGCCAACCATGAACTAGGTCTGAAGCCCAAGCAGATGCGGAGCTTTCAGCCACGGAAGCTGGGTGGTTCTTTGGGATGAAGTTGAATTTCCCCCTTCTTCCCTTAGAAGGGAGCCTGTTCAGAACTGTTTTCAAAAGGGTTTCAAGCACAACTCAGGAAAAGGCCGTCCCAAAAGAAATCGCGGAGGAAGGAAAAGCGCCACGGGCAGGAGACAGCCGGAAGTTCCTGCTACCCGTGGCAGGTGGTTTGATGATGGGCGCCATGGGGCCCGTTCCTTGGTAGGCCCTTGGGACATTTTACATTTTCCCTTATTTGGGTTGAAGAGGACCATATTTCTGAATATGTTTCAGAGGGCTTTCAGGGCCCCGTTAATGCGCTGTTGTCAAGGAACTTTTTGATGATTGTCATGGTTGTTGCTGCTGTTGTTGCTGCTGCTGTTTGTACTGTTACTGGCATACTTCTCATTACGACTCTTACTATTCTTGTCAGTAGTACTGGATGGATTGAACAGTTTGTTCAAGGATCTGACAAACTACTCGTATTATTATTATCACGAATTTTATGAGGCATCATTACTATTGCTGCTGCTCTTCCTATTCTTCTTACCATTTTTTCAGCTTAGCACACATTCAGGTGAACGCTGTGGCTTCTACCGCCGGGCAGCTTTCTCCATACAGTCATGTCTTCGCCTTCATGATGGGAGAGGCCTTTCTTGTTTACCTGTTTTTGTGACTAACAATACAAAATCATAATGATAGTCAGAATAGTATCAGTAGCAAGAATAATTGCAATAAAGATAGTACTCTAAACTTATAGTCATGATAATATAGCAACAAAATTGCGGGAGAGGCCTTTGCCATCTTCTGGGTGGTATCAGTCTACACATGGTCAACGCCCATCGCAGTTGCAAGGAGCTATTTGCGAGCAACTGCTGAGCGACCGAGAGCATTTCTGTGGAATGCTTTGGCTGGCACATGTGTTGGCACCGGATACTTCCTCTTCTTCGTGGGAACCCCTGTGGTCTCTAAAGCAGTGGGTACACTCTTCGGTACCGCAAGCTTGCTGCTCTCGGTGATCATGGGGGTTGTGGTCTTTAAGGAAATGCATGGCAAAACCTTGAGGCAAAAGACTCTTTGTACCTGCTGCGTTGTTTTCCTTTCTGCCGCGCTGGCCTTGATGTCGGCGGCATCTTTAGCGTGATTATGAGTTGTTAGGTGCTGGGCACGGCTAGTTGGGCTGTCAGTCCAGTAACCCTTAAACCCTAAACCGATAGGTAGTCTTCGCGTTCGCTGCGAAGCAGGAAGGCAAAGATTTTGCAGGGCACCCATTGGGCTCAGTGTCCAGTCCAGGGTTGCTGTTCTGGATGCCATGCATCCCTATCATAATGTTCTATATATGAACGTGCACTGTATAGCTTTGCACGGTCGATGTCAGCGGGCCGAGCCTGCATTCCAAAGTTTGGCTGTTGGATGCGGTGGGTTAAAAACCTCCGGCCAGAGGCTTGATGAGCTGGGTAGTGCTTTGGGATAATTTTACATTTCCCTTCTTACCCTTTTAAGGGAACCGATTCATAAGTAATTTTCAAAGGGCTTTAAAGCACCACCCAGTGAGGGGATTCAACTGAAAAGCCCTACTCCCTCTTTGAAGGCATCTGACCGTAGCCTACATACCACCACCTTCTCTAAACACTCTGAACCCTCAAACCCTCAACCCTGAACCCCTCAAACCCTAACCCCCCCAAACCCGTAATCAGCCCCTTGACCCTGAAAACCTCAACCCTTAACCCTGAGACCCTTTACCCCTTAAACCCCTCAACCCCAAAACCTCAGCCCCTTACCCAAAAACCCTTACGGGTTTAGGGTTCAGGGTTTAGGGTTCAAGGTTTAGGGTTTAGGGTTTAGGGTTTAGGGTTTAGGGTTTAGGGTTTAGGGCAACCCCTAAAGCCCCATTCCTCCGCCCCTTACCCCAAGGCAGAGTGCCGATCCCACCAGACGTCAGTGCGCACTTCGGGCGGTGCAGGAGGAGCTCAAGTCGGGCCCTTGAATGGGTCTGAGGGTTTAGGGTTTGGGGTTTCGGGTTTGGGGTTCGGGGTTTAGGGTTTGGGGTTTAGGGTTGAGGGTGTGTTTTTTGAGAGTTCAAGGGTTTAGGGTTGCGGGGTTTCTGGGCTAGGGGTTGGAATCTGCGGGTTTAAGGCTTTGGCCCTTCTAGGAAATCCTGCTTCAAAGATCGAAGGTTAAGCAACAGGCTTCGTCATAGTTGGGTAACATTTTACATGTTTAAGGGTACTTGAACCCAGTAAGGAATAGAAAACTAAATTTTTAAGACGATCCCTACCATGAACTAGAAGTGATCGAAAGCAGCCCCCAAAGGAGCCCCGGACTCTGACCCTAAGCTCGCGCCTTCTTGATGTGCGGGGTTTAGGGTTTGCATCCCGACTTGAAACCTGAAGCTGAGGGTTTAGGGGTTTATGGCTTAGGGTCCGGGGTTACAGCCCTACAGCCCTTTTGAGTTTTTTTTTTTGGGGGGGGGGGGGGGGGGGGTGTGCTTGTATGCCATTAGTATGCGTCCTTGGCCTCAACTGAAGCCACAAACCCTAAGACCCTAAACCCTAAAACCTACAGCCCTAAACCCTAAAACCCAAACAGCTCTCATGTCGGTCTGGGGCGAGGTGAACGTCGGAGGGTTAAAGTGCCCGCTCGTGAGTTCAGAGTCGAAGCGTCTGTAGGTTCAGAAGTTTAGGCTGTAGGAGTTTAGGGCTCAGGCGGTTTAGGCGGTTTTGGCCTGGGACACCCTGAACCTTAAACCCTAAACTCTATGCTTTGTCATAGTGGGGTAAGATTGTGCATAAAGGGTACTTAAACTCAATCATGAGGAATAGAACTTTGGATATCTAATACTATCCCAACCATGCACTAGTACAGGGTTTAGGGCTCAGGGCTTAGTGTTTTGGGTGCTTAGGGTTTAGGGTTTAGGGTTTAGGGCTTAGGGTTTAGGGTTTAGGGTTTGGGGATCTCTTGGAGCAGGTCGGGGGCTTCTGCAAACACGTGGGACGGCCCGCTGCCCGGCACCTGAACCCCTACGAACCCAAGCTCTGCACGAACGGGGGGTTTAGCGTTTAGGGTTTAGGGTTTAGGGTGTAGGGTTTAGGGTTTAGGGTTTAGGTTTATCGTTCAGACGTCTCAGGGCTCAGGGTTCAGGGTTTGGGGAGGAGAGGGGTCGAAGTCTTAGACGAGTACGGGTGGCAGGGTTTGCGCGCGCTAAACTGCGATGTGCTTTGGATTTGTTCATAGGATCTGCTCAGTATCCCTAAACCCTAAACCCTAAACCCTACAATCCTAGGAGGATTTGAGGGTTTTCGGCTTGAAGCTGGTGGGGCTGCCCACATCCTGAAAATCAAAAGAAGCCCAAGCTCCGAGCCCCAGATCCTAAACCCTAAGCCCTAAACCCTAGGGTTTAGGGTTTAGGGTTTAGGGTTTAGGCTAGTCCTAAACCCTGAACCCTAAACTCTAAACCCTCAACCTTGGGCAGAACCTAAGGCTGCAGCCTTGGGAATACAAGCCTCAACCCGCCACTAGAACCCTACTAGGGTTTAGGCATTAGGGTTTAGGGTTTAGGGTTTAAGGGTTGGGAGGTTCATGGGTGGTTTAGTGTAGGGTTTAGGTACAGGTAGAGATCAAAGTACCCAAGTAAGTCCATCAGTATACTTACCCTACTTCTAGCCCTACTTAGAACTATCTATGAAGCTCCAAGTACAACCCCAAACTCCTACGCCAACAATCCTGAACGAAAACCCTACACCCAAACCCCTAAGCCCGGAGCTCTCTGGTTGACAGCTTTCGGGGAGGCGTGGGGGCAGGGGCCAGGACTCTCTGATCTCCCGGTGACTTTGAGGATGTCGTGTTGATTCGGATAGAACAGGGCTTGGGGTTTTTCAGGACCCTCAGGGTTTAGGGTTTAGGATTTAGGGTTTAGGGTTTAGGGTTTAGAGAAAGTCAGCCCAGGCCCTGACACTCCGTTGCGGGCGGCAGCCGAAGCCTCAAGCAAGCCCCTATTCTCCCCCGCATTGAGCCCTATTGCCCCCTCAGAGAAGAGCTGGGTTTAGGGTTTAGGGTTTAGGGTTTAGGGTTTAGGGCATGATTCATCAGAGTCAGGACCATGAAAGTGCGGAAGGCATGCGCGCATGCCCGAATGACTAAGTATTGGGGCGCCTGGGTTGGTCACGATTCAGGGTTTAGGATTTAGGGTGGCTCAGGGTTTAGGCTTTAGCGTGTTCGCGACGGTGCTTGCAAGATTTTGGGCAGAGGGTTGCAAGCTTTGGGTTGTAGGAACACTTCACCCCAAACCTACCCTAAACCCGATTTCCTTGGGGTTTAGAGTTTCGGGTTTTCAGGTTTGGGGGTTTAGGGTTTAGGGGTTCAGCAACGCTAAAACGGCTCCAGGTGCAGGCGAGATCGACAGAACTCGCAGTGGCCTCAGAGCGCTTCGACCCCCCCCCCCCTCTGCCCCGCCCCGTCCCCCCCCAACCCCCATCGCCCAAACCCTAAACCCTAAACCCCAAACCCTAAACTGAAAAAGAGGGCCGGCCGGTTCAAGCCATAGGGCTTGGATGTAGGGTTTATATAGGTTCAGGGCCTAGGGTTTCAGGTTTACGGTTCATTAAAACGACCATTTAAGGGGCAAAAGGAGGGACCCCTAGAAGGGACCCTGAATCTTGTCCCCGTTTGTAACCCCTAAGGTCCATGATCAGGATTCCTCCTCGAGTCCCTTGTTTAGGGTTTAGGGTTTAGGGTTTAGGGTTTAGGACTATAGTTTCTTAATGTTCTGGGATCCAAAGGGTATCCGATACCAGCGTAGCGAGCTTCACTATTGAATGCTTGGACTTGAGATTTTGAACCCTAAACCCTAAACCCTAAACCCTAAACCCACGTTGAGGTTTTAGGGGTGTTTTCGGGTTGAGGGCTGACAGAATTGGGCGCCGTGGGGCTTTTCCTCTCATACGAACGGTTATTTTGGTGTTTGCCAGTTGGGTTCATGCCAAACTCGGGCCCCATTTGAGCCTATTGAGACTGCTTCCAAGGGTAGTAAGGACATTTTTTGATCTCTAAACCATGCCAAGCAGCATCCACGGGACTTCACTGAGATATCAGCCTTCACTTCCGCACGTGCAACCTGCTGGCAGGGTTTAGGGTTTCGGGTTTGGGGTTGAGGGTCCTTCTTTTGCCAGGTTAGAACCGTCGGCTCAAGTCTACATCTCTCAAGGTCTCGCTGCTGCTCCGGGCACGCGCAGATCCTGAAGAGGAAGACCCCAAGGGCCCGGATCCCTAAATCCAGTGCTCTTAGGACAGTCTGTGTTTTTTTTTGATTTGGGCTTCAGGGTTTAGGGTTTTAGGGCATGGGTTCAGGGGTTTGGGGGTTTGGGGTTTAAGGGGCTTGCTGGCTTAACAGCATTGTGGTCGTCGCGGGATCCTAGCGGGCGGCCAGCAGTACCCATCTCGATTTCTTTTGGTGTTCTCCCTGTCAACCCCTCTTTGCAAAAAAGAGGCGCCCGTCCAGAAGTTCTTAGCCTATGCGGAGCAACTACTCACCCATGCAACTCTTATTCGGGGTAATCAAGCCATGTTTTTTGGTACTTGAGGAGGTTAGTGTTTTGGGGTTTATAGGCTAGGGGAACCCTAAGCCCCCTTTACGTTCTTAGGTTACCGGGCAATCGTAGTCATTGGAGCACGCAGAGATGGGTCTGGGGTTGAGGGGTTAGGGCCTAGGGATTTTAGAGGTTTAGAAATTTAGGGTCAGGGTTTAGGATCTTCTGCGGGGTGCTATGTTATCTGTGGCCATTTTCTCTATTTATGGGAAGATGATAACCCGAACTGAGGTAAGTGCTTCAAACCCGAAACCCTGAAACCTGAGGCTACTTGGGTGACTTGATGCTACAATGGCTGTGAGACCGCAGGTTTGCGATTGTGTTCGGAGGGTTTAGGGTTTAAACGGTTTAGGGGTTAGTCTGCCACTTTACCTGCAGGTTCAGGGTACTTATAACCCCACTTATTTCTGCACCTATATGCCCCCTTAAGTCCTCTAAGTAGGTTCTAAGAAGGCGCCTAATTGGGGTGATAATTTCCCATGAACCTCCAAGCAGTACCAGTATCGGTTCCTAAAGACTGGGGTTTAAGGGGTGAGGGTCACACCGCAATACTCCCCGAAGCCCCGGCCGAAGCCTCAATCAGATTCAATCAGAACTTCCAGAACTTAGGGTTTAGGGTTTAGGGCAAGCTATGGACGTCCAAGAGGGTCTTCTAGGCATTGGATCCCTTTGTGTTTCCGAAATTAGGGTACCTTATTGAGGTCCTTATGATAAAGGAACCCTAGGATTTGGGGTCTACTAGTCTCAGTGTTTAGTATCCCCGGCCCTAGGGACATTTCATGTTATCACTTTTGGGGTTTAAGAGGACTAGAGTTAGAACACTTTTTCAGAGAGCTTTAAGGGCCCTCCTAGGTAAAAAATAAGTGGTAAGCTGTATATTGAAAAATCTTCGTGCCGAAAAGTAGTGTCAAGTTTCGTATGCTGAAGTAAAAGTCTGCCACTGCACAGCATAGAAAAGTACCCTAAAACCTAAACCAACCCGAAACCCCTAAACCCCTAAACCCTAAACCCTAAACCCCAGCACCTGAATCTATCATCAGCATGGGCTCTGCCGGTTCTGGCGTAGCTCCGTAGTGGCACTTGCCATGAAATGCTCTGGCGAAATTTCGCCGCTTGAGCGCTTTGCGAGGCGCTGAAGTGAACCTCAAATACCCTGACTCTTAAAGGGTTTAGGGTTTAGGGTTTAGGGTTTAGGGTTTTGGGTGTAAAACCCTGATCCCAAAAAACCCCTTGGGGTTTAGGGCTCAGGGTGCAGGGCTTATGTTCAGGACCTACGGAAACCCCAAACCCTCAACCGAAGGTCCTTGCGACAGCAGAGACCAGATGAGCACGAGCAATTCCAAATGAAGTTTCCGATGTACCTCTTTGAGGGCCCCCTAGGGCTCTTAAGTATAGGAACAGTTTGGGGTCTTCGGTTTATGCAGAGTACCTACTCTGGGCAAGTTAGAGCCTCAGGGAAGTCGAAAAGTTGTTTCTGACAGGTGACAACTACTAGTGAAAGGCACGAGGGGAGGGCTCTTTTTGCAGCCCACCTTGCAAACAAAGGTACACAGTGATTCTCCAAACCGTATTGCAGATGATTGCAGTCAGACCTCACGAAGAATTACTCGCAGCTAACAAGCTGACGATCTATGATGAGAGCAAGGGGAAGGCCCTCTTCGTCTCGCACGAGTGGCTTGGGAACCCAGTGGTACCCTTTACCCTCCTTTCTTTTGTTCTGGGCTCCCCTTATAAAGTAACCAACCCAAGCAAGGGTTGCCCTCATGATAAGATGGTTGCTGGGCGAGCAAGGTGGGTCGGGAAAGCTCATCCAGATCCTGAGTTCGACCAGTTTCGGATTATGCAAGATGCGCTCAAGAACATCTGGGCTGGGCTCAGCAAGATCTCCGTCGACATCGTCTCCGAAGCCGTGTTCGGTATCAACAGGGCTGTATCAGCTGAAGAGTTGCAATCCGAGCCGCTTTTCATCTGGCACCCTTGGCTCCTGTTTTTACATGCTTCTTTTGTTTGAGTTAGGGCTGTTCTATTACTAGACGGTTAGATACTCATATGATGTGCGGTTATATTGTTGTACTTACTAAATTACTATACCAGTTCGTATTCGTATCTGATTCTACTCTTTTTGGGAGGTTGCGCCCACAGTGGGAGCTAACTTATTAAGCCGTATATTTAGGGGCTCTACTTGAAGGTTCATGGGTGGACATTTGTAGGGGTATAAGTACCCTTGGTAAGTGGTAACCACTTAGAACAATAAGGTACCCTACGTATATCCCCACGTATAACTACCCATGAGCCTCCAAGTACTCAATTGCAGGTGTAGGGTTTAGGGTTTAGGGTTTAGGATTTAGGGTTTAGGGTTTAGGGTTTAGGGTTTAGGGTTTAGGGTTTAGGGTTTAGGGTTTAGGGTTTAGGGTTTAGGGTTTAGGGTTTAGGGTTTAGGGTTTAGGGTTTAGGGTTTTAGGGTTTTAGGGTTTTAGGGTTTAGGGGGAGATTCTGGGGTGTGAGAGTCGCAGGTACGACTACTTCTCCTGCCCGCAGTTGCACTCCCACTGCGACGACCAAGCAGAGAGGCTTCAGTCGCGGCACCAGTTGGACCAGGCCGGGCCTGGAGAACCCCAAAGTTCCTAGGGGTCCTTAAAGGGAGGGGGGTTAAGGGTTTAGGGTTTTGGGGTTTAGGGTTTAGGGTTTGGGATTTAGGGTTTAGGGTTTAGGGTTTAGGGTTTGGGGTAGGTACCTTGGGAACCTTCGGGCGGTTCGTGCAACCCTGAACTTCGGGAGCCTTAGGGAGCAGTGGGGAGTATTTGGGAACCTTGGGCTACATACCTCCCTTAAGAACCCTATAGCAAAAGCCTAGTTCTTTTTGTAGGCTTTTGTTCTAAAGCCCCTTATAGAACTCTTATGCAACTTACAAGAAGGTAGGTTTGTTGGGGTTCTGAAGGCAATTTTTGCCCAAAACCCCCAAGCTCTAAACCCAAAACCTGCTCCAAGCCCGAAACCGAGAATTCGCAGATGCCGTGCGTTTAGGGTTTATGGCTTCGCGTCCTAGATATGGGATGTTCCCCCTTATACTAACAATCCTTAATAGGGATTATAGTACCCGCTCTTAATAATCCCTATGAAGGATTGGTAGTATTGGGGGGAACATCCCAATCCTAGATCCATATGCTCTCCATGCGGCGGTAAATTCTGAGCGTAGCTACATGGGCCCTTAATATGGCCCCGTACCTCCTTAATAGGGTTCTGATGTATGGGCCATTACTTTGTTTTGGGTCTATAAGGGGTACCCTTTCCAGGGCCCGTACTAAGGGACCATGTAGCTACCCTAATATCCCTAAACCTTAAACCTTAAACCCTAAACCCTAACCCTAAACCCTAAGATACGTCGTTGGTACAAGGCCATCCGCAGCATTCCGGCGTACATATCCCAAAGTCGGCTATTTATGGCCCTGCGCCTCGGCTTCGCACCAGGGTTTAGGGTTTAGGGTTTAGGGTTTCGGGTTTAGGGTTTAGGGTTTAGGGTTTAGGGTTTAGGGTTTAGGGTTTGGGACAATTTCTGGAGGGCAGCTTTTCAGCAAGTGCCTTCCGTAAAAGCCTCATGGATACCTTAGGTACCCTTTACACCACGCTTTTGTCGACCTATATACACGTCTGGAAGGCTGCCCTGGAAGGCTAAACCTAGACCCTAAACTCTAAACCCTAAACCCTAAACCGCTTCTTATTAAGGCAGCTAAGAGTTTAATTTATAGCTACCCTCCTGAGTGCAGCCAAGGTTTGGGCTGTTTAGGGTTTAGGCTTTGGGCTGTTTAGGGTTCAGGGTTTGGGGTGTAGGGTTAGGGCTTAGGGAAATGTATCGGTTCTTCATCTCTCACCAGCGTCCCTTTGCCTCCTTTCTCCCTTTGGACGTTTCAATCCTAAACCCTAAGCCCTAAACCCTAAACCTCCCTTCACCCCCACACGAAACAGCCCCAGGAGAAACGACACTGCATAAACTGTCTTGGGGGTTTTGCGGGTTCTGGACAAGGCCTTAGAAAAGCGGTCCAAGTAGGTTTAGGGTTTAGGTTTTTAGGGCTATTAGGTAGGCCCTTGGGACATTTTGTATTTGCCTCCCTTATTTGGGTTCAAGGGGACCATAGTCAGGAAGATTTTGTAGGCCCTTGGGATATTTCCCATTTTCCCTTACTTGAGTTAAGAGGACCATAGTCAGGAAGATTTTTCGGAGGGTTTTGCGGGCCATGCTAGGCATTTCCTTCCCAATGGCTATAGCAGAAGCTGCCTCGAAACCCCGTTGGAATGGTACTTCAAGGTTCTTGGGTTGCTACAGTTGTCCTACTTTCAACCCTACTTGTAACGGCCCATGAACCTCCAAGCCCTAGACCCGAAACCCTAAACCCTAAACCCTAAACCCCTTAAAGATTCGATCCCAAGGTGCCCTGTTGTGGCAAGCCCTGACCACACGCGCGTGGTTAGCCATTTCAGTTGGGCCCAGCGTGGCTGGTGTCTTGCTTCTCAAGATGCGGTTTAGGGTTTAGGGTTTAGGGTTTAGGGTTTAGGGTTTAGGGTTTGGGGTTTAGGGTTTAGGGTTTAGGGTTTGGGGTTTGGGGTTTAGGGTTTAGGGTTTAGGGTTTAGGGTTTAGGGTTTAGGGTTTAGGGTCTAGGGCAGCTACACGGTC